AAGGGTTTTTTGGCGAGAAAACCGCTAACCCGGTTAACTATAGTTTGTTGAGGTTTGACGTTTTGGCGAGAAATGTAGTTAACCCGGTTTGGCAGAGTTTGCCTAACCATCAAACCGGACTTGTGGGTTGGTTTGGATATTAAGTTAATATTTCTATCTTTGTTTATTTATTTTCTGTTTCGTACCATCGTACCTAGTCACTACTTCGTTTTTTTAGAGGTTTGGATAGGTATAAGTTGTAAATAAAAAAATTTGATAATGGATTAACTTTGCAAAAAATACAAAGTAATATTTAAAATTGATAATAAAAAAATAGTAATCGAGGATCCAAATAACTTTAATCGTAGATATGCATATTCTATATTGTACTGTATAGATCTTTATTAACTTCCTTTTTGACGATACATTTACGTGGGAATAGATATTTGTGAAAAGGTAAACCCATTTTGATTTAATAACCATCTATACATTAACGTTATTTCATGGATGTGCATTTCAGATTAGGAATAACAATTATAGTATATAAGAAATAATCAAACAACTTGAGCTACGAGCACTATCATAGATTATAGGTTACGATTTTATTATTGATTAGATATCCAAACCAAAAGAATTTTTGCGAGTTCTGTCAAATGTTAACTCAAACTCCTAACACAATCAAACTCGAGCTAACCGGGTTTGATGTGGTTTGGCTCGCCAAAAAACCCTTATAGAAAACAGTAAAAACACGTTGTCCGCTCGCTGTCAATAAATAACCTAACCTAATTTAAATTTCTATGATTTAATTGTAATAGATAAATGTTTATTTTTCCAGTATAAGTTAGTCATAATTAGAATAATGGATAATTTAGAACAACTTTATGGTCAGTCAGTTAAAATAGACGTAACTGAATGTGGCAACTGTATATCCTACAGTTCGTCTCAAGAACTTACATGTTTTATTTCCGACAAAAACTATGTATGTATATACGAACATGCTAACTTGGATAGACCTATAGCAAAGAAAATTGAAGGCAAAGAGTTAAAACAAATCCACTATTTGGCTGTGTACGATGTAATTTTTCTTGCTACAGATTACGAATTCATTTTGTGTGATCGTTATACCTTTCAATGCAATGTATCTTATCTGTCAGAGAAAAGAATAGTTGCTCTTGCTTGGAATCCATCTGAAACGGCAGTGGTGATTATCGACGAAGTGGATAAGATAATTTTATGTAATTTTTCAACTCCGAAATTTGAAATACAGAACAGTAATTATTTAAGTGCTGAAGTCCCAGGTTCGGTATATGTTGGATGGGGTTCAGAAAACACTCAATTTCAAGGACTGACGGGTAGACAGCATAAAGGAAAAGAAAAAGGTAAGGTTAAATCTTAGTTAAGACTAGTTTTACATCTCGTTTTTAGTTTCAGTTCCGATAATCCATTGGGAATACAGTCCGCCAAATATTTCATGGAGAGGAAATGGACTGGAATTTGCAATAAATTTTTATAAGAATGGACAAAGGTTCATTAAAGTCTTTAGTAATCAATTACAACCTTTGAATGTATCTTCGGAGTACCCTAATTTGACAGAACCAATAGCTTTTATGGTAGCTGGCCAATGCATAGCCTGTGCTTGTGTTGCAGATGTAAATAGTATCGTTATATTTGAAAAAAATTGTAAAGTGAAATCAACATTCGAAGTGCCAGAAAATAAGGTAATTTTATAACTGACTTTATAAACTATAAAAATGCACTCATCTTCATTGTGTTGGAAAAGAGCCTCTATAATGAGTTTGATTAATAGTTGTCACATTTACGTGTACGTTTATTTAAGTTTAGAATCAATTTACTTTTTAGGGAACAATCCAAAAGATACAGTACCATCCACAAATGAATATGCTTGCTGTATACAGCTTAGATGATAAAGAAAGCGGGTATATTAATATTTACTTAAATGGGAATGGTATTTGGCATTTAAAGCAACAATTATACTTTCCACCAAACCGGAGAGTTCAAGATTTTAAATGGATAAACTTGCATGAACCGCTGTATACAATTTGTCGTATGGTCATATTTATCAACCGATCAGTGGAATATTATACTTTCCGCTTTATAATAAACAGATGTCCATCAACTTCTGTATTAGCTGTTGTTAATGGCAGAAGTATCTCTATTTATAATTTTGCAGAGAAAATCATACCGCCTCCCATGTCAAATTCTACGTTAACACATTCAAGACCTATTAACAGGATTTTATTTCATCCAAAAAAGTTACTACTAGTTGCATTAAATTCTCTTTTACAGGTTTTAATTGTTAATCTGGAAAATTTTAATTCAAAAGTATTAATTTGGGAAGATATAAACTTTATAAATGCACCGTCACTTTATAACATTATCTGGAATGAAAACAAAATACAAATCAATTGTGGCGATTGCGATGATGAAATACATGAGGCTAAGGAAGACAGTAAATTAATTTTTGAAATAAATACTATAAAGAAAGCTGCTTCTAAATTTGTTTTGCCATATAATGACACAAATTGTCTAACGTCACATCAAAGTGTAGATGCTGAAACCATTACATTAACCTATCTAACTAAAAAGGAAATACAAATAAAAAATTCCAAAATTGAATTGGACTTTGCATTAAGTTGTAATCGAGAATTATGTTTAAACGGCAATATAATATGTAATGGTGTTACATCATTTTTCATTTTTCAAGATTATTTATTGTTGACTACTGCCAGTTGCAAGTTGTACTGTATTCGTTTATTACAAGATGCTGACAAATTGTTGCATTCTAGTTTTAAACTGGAAAAAACTTATTCAAGAGAAATTGAACAAGGTGCAAGAATTGTCACTATTAGTAAGTGTTATCCACCACTGATAACTATGGTTTTACCTCGAGGCAATCTGGAAACTATTAGGTGTCGTTTATTAACAATAGACATTGTAGAAAAGTTATTGAGCGAAAACAAATGGAAGACTGCAGTGAATATAACAAGGATCGAAAGAATGAACTGGAACCTGCTTATTGATTTAAATCCGGTACGCTTTTCAGACCACATAAAAGATTTTGTCAAAGCAGCAGAATTTTGTACAAATCTAAGTACAATCGTTAATGATTTTACTAATAAAAATACTTATTTAAATTGTTTGCCAAATTCCACAAATCAGGTATGTGATAAAACGGAGATTGTAAGAAAAATAATAAGTTATTTAATATCTACTGACCCAATAAACAATTTGTTAAGTATAATATCTATCCAACAAAAACATTTTTCTTTGAAATCAGCACTAAATTATATAAAGGTTGTATTTGAACTGAACCCACATTCTAATGATTCCATTTGTAAGAAATCATTGCAACTTTTAAGTAATAAAGGACATTTTAAAGACATTTTAGATGCAGCATATAGTCTTTATAGTTTAGATTTTTTAACGTTTGTGTATCATAATAGCACTGAAGATCCAAGAGTGTATGAGCCTGAAATAGCTGCCTTTAGAAAGTTAAAGCCAGTCCAGTTGCGTTTCAAAATGAATTTAAGAGCAAATAATATAAAGGAAGCCGTTAAATACCTTCTGCGATGTGATAACTACGATTTGACTTATGTTGAAACTTTCATTTTGAAACACAAATTAGAAGATGTGGCTTATAAATGCCTACCACCTTTTTGTAAACATTTTGATACTGTTTCCACTTTATATGCCAAGCGTTTGTCACTGAAACAGAAACATGATGAAGCAGCCTTTGTTTTAAAACGGGCCAATTTAATTACACACGCTCTGGAAGAGTATAAAGCAGCATTAGATTGGAGAGAGGTTGTGAGTATTATGAAAGCTCTTAATTATAATCAAGATGACCAAAGAAAAATATTATATGATCTATCTAGTAAGTTGTCTGCAGTTGGAAGAGTCGATGATGCCGTCTTACTGTTAAATAATTATAACGATGATCATAAAAAAGCGACACAGTTGCTTATTGAACATAAAGCTTTTAAAAAGGCAATTTATTTGGCAAAGGAATACAATGCGGTGGAAATATTAGGTAAAAAAAAAATTTTCACAGTATAAACTGCAAAATTTTGTGTCGGCTGTGAAGTATCTTATTTTTATTTTTTTATTTTTTAGAGGAGCTGGTTATCCCTGCTTTGAAATCGTATATGTTAGATCTGAAAGATAAAATTGACGAGTTTGAAGTAACCTTCATAAAATATTTTCACCGCTTGCAATTACTGCGTGAAGAGAAAATAATTAAATTAGAAAATTCTATGCACGATGTCTACGATAGGGGTGAAGATGATTTATATTCTGAAACAGGCAGCACAGTATCTTCCTACGGATCGTCTCGTGCCACATCAAGGTCTAGGTCGTAAGTTTAATTTTTTTTATTTTTTGTAGACAATGGGATTTATAAAATTAAATTTAGGTCACAATTTTCTTCAAAGAACAGAAGAAAAGAGGAAAGGAAAAAAATTGATTTACGTGAAGGTGGATATTATGAAGATATTGCTCTCATAAGGGCACTATATATTTTGTACAACAACGTATTTTCTTTGGGAAAAGATGTGAGAGAAGTTTGTACCATTTTAGAACATGGTGATTTACAACTAGCAAAGAGTTTACACGTAAGTTTGAGCTGTTTACAAGATCTGATGAAGAAACATATTCCTTTGATTTGGCCCGATGTATTTATTAATGTGCCACAAGTTTTGGACAATACAGCTCTAGCTATTATTGAAAATAAGGCATATTTAGGTGAGTAAATCTTTGTCTTTAATATAGTACTTTTCATGTAAGTACAGAGCCTTGATAAATGTTTACAAGCCACGTGACCACTGATCTTAGGCAACCCAACATTGCACAACTGGTACTGGCTTACAATGAACAACGACAAACCGTTACGTCTACGCTCGAGATAATGCGATTGCTGATTGGTTCAATAAAACCTTGTGAAAAATTACACCAACCACCAGCCGGTGAAACAGAATGTTGTGTTTTAATGTAATCTTGATCGTATTATTTTAATAATTTTTAATTTTACCAAAATTTAATTGCCAACATGAAGGAAAATAAAATTACTCACATGGCTTGTAATCATTTATGAAGGCTCTGGCTCTGTAGTTAGGCAAAGCTAGTTATGTATTCTGGTCATTTATCTGATATGTCACAGTTAACAATTGCAGCTTTTTTATTTTGGGAAAGTTATGAAAAAGAAATTATTTTTTTCAGATCCTGCTTACTGCATTCCACCAGATGTTTTGTTTGAGGAATGGAAACTAGAAATTTTTTCTTAGTCTAAAATTTTTGCATGGTGCTGCTAAACCGCAATTGCTTTCTTAATTGTCATTTATATTTGCAACTCCAAGAAAATATAAATCAATTTTATAATTAAAAAAATAATAATTGAATTCATAATTTCTGTATGTAATTAATTGGTTTAATAAAATCTATATGATTATATAATTATCTAATTAACTGCCATTATAGATGATATTATAATCTTCGTATTTAATGCAATCATTTTTTATATAATTTAATAAATGTGTTATAACTAATAATATATATANATATATGCGTTTAGAGGTTATAACAAAAACTTGGCTGGTATGAAAATTTTTATTATACAGTCATAAGAAACACTATTAAACTACTGAATCAAATGTGATTAAAAAATATATAAAAATAAAATTCTTATATATACATAAACAAGTATAAAATACTATTTTATATAACCTCGCTAGTATTTTCAAGATTTGATTCAACGCTGTCTTGCTTCTACGCAATACCAGGATGCTCTCCGTGTATCTTGTGATGAGGAATTTGCCACCTTCCTGCATTTTAAATCCAGTAGGACTTTTCTATCACCGATTTTTTCCAAATACTTTGTGAAATCCTGATAAATTGGAGTACTCTGCGACAAAAGAAAATATTTTGAACATCGACTAAGTTTAAAAGTAAAATTCCAGGTGTGACATAATTTTAATGAACTAGTAATAATTGTGAATATTCACCCCGTCAAAATAGTTGTAAGAGTAAGGCCCAATGTGGTGAAAAGTTGCTACCCATTCTTTGAAGACAGTTGGGTTAAGGTTTAGTAATACTTGTAATACTTCCAGAGATTTTGTCATCACTAAGCTTTGACCGTACTGATCTAGTGCATTAAACCTAAAAACAGTTTATCTTCAGTAAATAATTCAAACTTTTTTATTAGTAAACATAGGACGCCAATTTATTTTGACTTAACGTATATTATTGACACCACACTATAAGCATGAGTTTATAAAGTAATCTGTAATTTCATCCATCTTTTTTGTATAGCTCTCGCAAAATATTTTTGATGACTGACATTCATCTTACCAAACTCATTGTATGAACTTATTAATTTCTTGTACTTACTTTGCTTCAAACTTTAATTCACACTCTGTTTCATGACAAGAACTGCAGGAGTTTGGACTGATAACAATTTGTTTGCATTTAGTACATTCCGAAATAATTGAGAGTTTTAGCAGGAAAATGCTATATACATGTCCCCATACCAGAACATCAACTGGTACTTTCTTACCTCGGGATAAAAAAACTGGCATACCCCAATTAAATTGATTATACCTATAACAATATATCACACATACAACAAATAACACAAAAAAATTAATAACTTACAGGTTAACTGTGTTGAAGCTTAAAGCGGGTTTATACGAGACTACTTCAAAAGATGTAAAAATTGTAGACCTCAAGTACTTTTTTGACTGTGGAATGACATGCCGTACAATGACCTCCATTTCTGGCACTAACCCTAAAGGCATAAGCATATTGTGCCAGTTACTTAGGTAGCAGTCCAAAAACACTCTACGGTTACCATCAACATGAGAAAATACAATTTGATGTACTTTCCCACCTAAATAGTAAATATATTAACATTCTTAAATACCTTGTGATAATTAAGTACCTGGAGTTTCAAATCCATAAATCGCTGGGATTTTAACAGTCGTAGATGGCAATGGGTCTGTAAATCTCTTGATTTTAATAACACCACGAAACGTTACTAGATCACTACAATTTTGAATATGGGACATACATTTTGGAATACTTAGCGGCTCCGATATGTTACGCACTTCGACATTGACTGGTTGAAAAAAACAACCTTGATGTGATATTTCATATATATTTAAGTCTTTTATTCTTGTTAATGCAGGTCTCTTTACAGTATTCCTGCGCAAAAAAAAATGAGACACTTGAACCTATTTGTAAATATAAAATTTACTTACAACGGAGTTTCAAAGAACATTCTATATGATAATCCTTCTTTCAAGTGCAAGTTAAGACATATATATTTTGAGGATAATACCAAATATACATCTTTGGAAAAAAGTCCAGTAGAATTAGACTGTATAAAAACATGTAATAGTAATTCTGGCAAATTTCTGGTGTTTATATAAACCTACATAAAGTTCGTATTAAATTTTATAGATATGTAGTTAATATAAATTTAATATACTCACTGTACTCTTCTTTAGGAGTATGAAAGATATTACATTTGAGTATTTTAGTTCATCTGATTTTATTCCAAAAATATTATTTTCGCTTCTTGAATGTATGACGTGTATGTCATCTACTTTTGCTATAACATACTCAACATTAGGTACTGCATTCTCTTTAAATATTTCAGTCATAACAGTGTATTTTTCTATTAAGACATAGCTATTCTGCAGATGAGATATTTCAATATCAGTTTTTTTACAGTTTTCTGTAATAACAACGCATACAAGTTGGTAGTCACCGTCTTTTAACATATAAAATCCATAAAGTGGATGAATTTCAAGATACCCGAATAATATTCTATTTTTCACACTTGGATGTGAACCAAAACTCCAGTAAGGAAACTTAGCATACTTATTTGAAATAATCTCAACGTATTTACAGGTTCTAACAAAAGTCAAAGATACCTTAGTTAGGATCGAGTTATTATAATTTCCTTTCCTAAAAATTACATCTCCATTTCCTATTATTAATAAAATTAATTTCTGCAGAAGAGACAGTAGTATGTCATTCTTTAATTCAATTTTTAAATTGGTAAAATGATTCTCAATTTCATTTGAAATTTCTTCAAATTTAACTATATCGTCTGAACTTAATTTATAAGTGTTTATCAAATTTAAGAAGGTATTCCACGGGCAATCCATTTGAAAATTTCCTTGTATAATTGAAGACTCGCAGACAACATAAGTTGATTTGAATTTGTACCCATTTTTAATCACAATTTTACTTCCAATCAGGGGTAGTTTTTTAAGTTTACCCTGGGCTAAAATTTTACTCATATGCACCTTTACGATACCATCTATTTCGAAACATGCAAAGGTGGTATTAACTGATGTAACAGTGCCCTGCAAAAATATATATCAAATATCTAATATTACCACAGTTCTTACTCACAGCCAAATCGCTTGTATCCATGTTCTTCTCTCACAAGTGGTAAGGTTTTTATCACGTGACTGCAAATGAAAACGATTTGTAGTTACTGAAAAAAGGAAGAAGCAAATGAGGAAATTTGTAATTTTCAGTTTAAAATAAAAATAAAATTTATTTCTTTACTGAACATCGTTAAATTATATTTGTTTTGTTTTAATCGACATAATACATACCACAAAACATATAATAATGCATACCATACCACAAAAACACAAACTGAAAACTAAGCTAAGATGGTTTAAATCCCTTTTGTTTTATAAAATCAAATAATCTTCCCCACAATATCAGATTGATTCATAGAAGTATGTGGCCTTAATCAATAAAATCTGTCATTCTTTAGTATTTAGTAGTAGGTACATGTTAAATATAATATAATACCAATGATAACATGTAATATTGCATATTTGACATCCAGAATATTTTCCATATTTTGGTTGGTTTATAAAAAAGTATTAGTCCTAACTTAACTTTAATCTTAGTCCTAAAAAGTTAAATGTACAAAATGTACGTATAGAACTAGGGCAAGGTTTAAGATTTTTATAAACTAATACATTACATTCTGTACATTTAACTTTTTAGGACTAAGATTAAGGTTAAGTTACGGCTAAGTTAGGACTAATACTTTTTTATAAACCAACCATTTGTCTTTTATAGGATTTTGATGGTTTTATCTAAACCAGAAACAACTCTATTTACTATTACATAATCTAACTAAACTATATTCATTGGTATTAATTGTATTAGCTTTGTTCCTAGTCGTATAGTCCTAGTCACCTGGCGGTGACAAGTGGTACTAGCGAAACAAGGTAAACATTTCTTCTGTGTGTGACATTTCGTTTTGTATTTTATTTAAAACTGAATTTAGTGTTCGTTTTTTGAACACTGTTATTTTAAGAAAATAGTGTGAGGAAAATATCAGCAATTATGGATAGAAAGAAGAAACTGTCAAACTATTATTGTTCAGTTCAAGGTTGCTCTTCATGGTCCAAGAAAAATCCAGAATTAAGTTTTCATAAAACCACTGAAGAAATTTTCAAAATATTATTGCCGATAGATAATACTCCCTGAATTTCATGAGGGTTGTTAGTAAGTAAGGGCACTAGTCTGCAGACATAATATAAATTTCTAAATTTAAATTAACTTTGCTCAATTATCCCATATAGTACCACATGATCAGCCTTAAAAACTGCCTCTCCTTCTAATATACAACGAGAGTTTTCGTTAGCATATATGTAAATAGGAAATGTATTCCACAACGGATAAGTTCATAGTTATAACTTAATAAAATATACATTACATTGTAATGCTAGAGACAAATAAAGTAGACATAAATACTTGCCTTAAAATTTATTTATGAAATTTTTGAAACCTATAAAATAACACAAAAGTGAAATAACTGCAGTTTCATAACAAAATTACTAATAATAATGGCAAATAAGACAAATGTTGTTCAAATGAATGTGTAAACACGAACGGCAACGTCAAAATTACCTTGTTTCGGAGCTTACTGCTTTCGCCGCTTGGTGCGCTTGCATCTTAAAAATTATCGCGGATACGTACCTACTCAATATTTGTTTTAGGTATTCTGCCGCCGCTAAATTTAAAATTACATAACAAATCTCACCCTACACAGATTACTCAGAAATTGATTTTGTAAAATAATTTTCACGTAGATAATTTTTTTTGTCACCATGAGAAAATAAGTACATTTGATACATTAAAATCACTCAAGCATTAAAGACACTTTTAAATGCTCTAATAGTCTTCCTACTTAAAATAAGAAATAATTTTGATACTGTATCTTTTTAAAATGTTTGTTGAAAAAATTTCAAATTTCAGTACATATTTTGAAAAAAAAGAGTGAAAATGATTATAGAGTTTCAGTGCTTTCTATATTGTATTAGCTTTCACGGCGAATAAAAAAATATTACAAGTAAATAATTTTACTAAACCAATCTTTGATTAATTCTTGTAATAGAGATTTATTATGCAACTTTAAATTTTTCGTTGTGTTGATATCCATAAAAAAAACTACCTACCTCTGATCACATTTTTTATTAAAAAAAAAATAAAACATTTTATTATTAATAAAAAAATGTGATTATATGATGATCAGACATTATTATGTTATATAAATAAATGTGAATGAAATATCTAATAAAACACACTAAAAACACAAATAAAACACACACCAGCACTCGCCAAACCTAACCAACAATAAACATAAACAACATGAATGACATGAAATTATTCATAATTGCAATTGTCAAAATTTATTCTACAAAATCTTTGTGGCGACATCTATAGACTCTTTCCCCAACTTGTATATCCATCTCAAGTCACGTGGTTCCCAGTGTCCCCATATTTTCAAGTATAAGTTCTCGGGCCCTGACCTGCACTGTATCACAATAATCCACAAAAGCTGCACTACATTTGTGTTTTTGCATCTTTGTTGACATCAGCTTTACGTTTACTCATAATTATCAATAAGTAAATGTAAATAGAATAATGAGACCAGTGTCATTTATCTAGGAATGAGACTAATAATAAAAGAAGAGGTAAGAGAATTTTATTGTCTTTTATCGGCACCAGCAGTAAAGTACGCCATCTGTGGCTGCTGCGGCAAACGACACATTCGGAAAGCACAGACTACAAAATAGTTAAGGAAACTGCATGGGAAAAGAGAAATAGAATAATATCTAATTCTACTGTCTCATAGATGTCGCTGCAACTGTCTCATAGATGTCGCTGCAACTGTCTCATAGATGTCGCTGCACCATAATGGCGGTAAATTCAAATGCAATAAAATATACTAATAAAAAGTATTTCATAAGTAATAGATCACAAAATAGTTGCTAATGGTTTAAGTTGATAATTAAAAGTAGGTGAACCATTAACAGCTGTTCCATGACCCATTAAGTTACGAAACTTATTTATTTACTCATATGAGCATACTTATCTAATCTATGACATCAAAATTAATAAGGCATTTTATTGTATATTTTGTGACTCTACTCAAGTTTCCGCTGTCAGTTCAGTATCCCCATGGACACAGTTAAATTTCCCATGAAAATGCTTCAATTGTAGCCTGATTCCCGTCTAGAGTTTTAGTCATGAGCCTAGGAAAATTTCCAAAAATTGTCAAATTTTAAATGTGCCAAAAATCCAGATAAAAACATTCGAACACAAGTTTTTATTTGGACCCCCTGAAAACGCTAGTGATGTCCGTTTTTGTCTAAGTTCTACGATTTGGTAACAAATCAGAGAAATGTCAAGAAGTAGAATACCCTATACCGTGTTATAAAAAGGTTATACATACCTACAACTAATAGGTACCTACATAATTACAGTATAAATATTATTACTGGCAAATGAGGTGTGACGAGTTCGAAATTTTGCTTCGTTTTATCTCCCTCCTCTCAATCTTTAGTTAAGAACAGTTTACAAATGAATTCAAGAGTGTCGAATTGGTTTATAGGGATATTTTTTAAAGATATTTTCTAGTCAAAAATTTGTTTTAGTTGCAGGAAACTTCCAAAAATTGTCAAAATTAAATTGTGACAAAAATCTAGGTAAAAAAATTAAAAAAGTTGTATTAAAACCCGGTGAAAACTAGCTGACATCATTAGTATGTCAGCTTTTTGTATTAAGTTCTACGATTTGGTAGGAAATCACAAAAAATGTCAAATGGTAGTATAAAATATATAATTAGTATTCATTTCGAGCTAAATAAGAAGTTATGGGGTGTGGTGATTGTCTTATTACTCACTTTTATATCTAAGATTTATTTATTTATCAGATCAGCTACGGTCTGCCGTGGCCAAGAAAAATTATCGATTAAACAAAATATATTGTATTATAAGTTAAATAAAATAAAAACATTTTTCGAAGCCTCTTCGTTACCCAATTAATTGCAATAACAAGAAGTATTTTAAAATTTATTATTTATGTTGAGTAGAAATACATCAACATAAAATTGGCAGATTGGTAGCTGATTTGATAAATAAATAAATCTTATATATAAAAGTGTATAATAAGACAATCACCACATGGGGCAATACGATTTACAGATGGCTTGATTAATACCTGAACCAACATGATCAAATCGGTACAACTGTTGGACTGTTGCGTTGGACCTTGTCCGTACATAGCCTGCATTGCTGTCGGCTGTTGTTGTTCATTGTTCTGTTTATTTTTTATTACTTTTGTTATTTTTATTATGCTTACTGTTTTTTATAAATAGATAGAAGATTTTCACAGGACTCGGTACTAGCAAGCCTTTACATTCATTTTATGATTTATCAATTTATTACTATTTTAATTATCTGTACATATTTTACAAAAAAAAAAAAAGAAAAAAGTCACCTCAATTGAAGAGATCAGAAGCAAAAAAATTGATCAACTTAAAAAGCTACCAACGAACTCATTTTCTTTTGTTTCTTAAATGTTTCAGCTGAGTTTGTAATCCTGCATATATTCGTATTTATAGTTGACTAAATATAAATCGAAATAAATGTTATGTGTGAAAATTCTTTATCGCTACATATCACGAAAGGAAGTATAGAAAGCCTAAATCAAAATTGCGTCAAATCATAAATTTATGTTAATTATCGTCAAGGTGTGCTCCTATAAACTAAAAAAAAGATACATTTCTTTTTTATGAATAAATGTCTTTAATGTAACAAATTGTATTAATTTACAAACTGTGCTACATATTACAATTGGCCATATAGTTCGTAATATTTCTAAAAAACATGCATACCAATAAAATAACATCAAAGAAGTTATCACACCACACTTAAATCAACTATTATTACATTTACCTCTCTTATTACATTAATATTTATTTTGAAAATGGATTTCTCTATCTATCTCAGCTAATTGAAAATAAAATTTTGTGTAAAAATATTTGCTGTAATGTACGGGCAAATCATTGCACATAACACTCAAAATTATCGTTTTAAGAGTGTGATAAACATTTTTTTCATGTAGATACTACAGAAAGAAAGATTAAAATTTCACAGATATTGACTTACATTTCAGAACAGTCTCTGTAGACTAGAAAAAAATTGTATTTCCGGAAAAAATATTTGCAAATAAGGGAATAATAAATTTATTTAATTGCCTTTGGCACACACATTTCACTGCAAATGAAATTATTTAGAATGTTTGATTAATTTTTATTTGAAGTAAACGGTTCCATAAAAATTTTCAAATCAAATATGTATACAAAAATTTTAATGCATTCTTGGAAATATAAATGGCACATGAAATGAAATATAATTAATACACACTTAAACAACCACCAACTTGATACTAACACACAAAAATCTAGTGCACATTAATCCTAATGAGGTAATTCCATAACAAATCAATCAATATTTTGTATAAGAATAATATTTAAAAAGGCCAAAGTTCTCATCCTGAATTGTAGTGGTTATTTAAAATACTGATTTTTCATAATATACGTATAAAATAGTACCTAACATTTTAAATTCATTAAATATTAGTCAAACTTAATATAAAAAAGGAATTAATTTAAACAAAACAGAGTAAAATGTAACCGATAGATCTGTGTAATTGATTTTTACCCTGCTTTATTATATTCTTAGTTTACAGATTTTGTAATTAATAATAAAAATGAAACTTGATTTGAAATGAAATAACCTAATTGTAACTAAAAATAATTAACAATAACCTATGTAAATTAAAAAAAGTTTTCAATGTACAATTTAGTTAACAACTAAACAGTATATACAAAGGGGTACAACACTGACTAATCTTTTTACTATATACTCTGTGTACAAATATAATATACATACTAATGGTGCATACGTAATACTTATTAACTGACAATTTCCAGTTTTCTGTACATTAATTAATTAAACATATTAGTAATACAAAATGTTGTATGACATTTTGATCTAAAAATTGTTTTTACTATTTATATCTTTATTTCCAACTGATGGCATTTTAATTTTTTTTCAATATTCTTTAAGTGGTAACCCGTTTTTACATAGTTTTTGTTACAATTTAGTTAGATATGTGTAAACTGACAATTCATAAATAATAGAAAATTAGCCTTTCTGTAAAAACTTTCCCAAAAATAAAAATAAATATTGTAGACATTGTATTAATACTACAATAGTTAACATTTATTTTATAACTTATACAAGCGCTTAAGTACAGTCATANGGATTGGACTTTCCCGCACTAGTGGGACACGCTATATATATATATATATATAATTGGGTATATGCTTTATTTTTGACACTGCAGAAAGATAAACATATTAACAAAAATTGTAAGACTGTAAGTACGCTTCGCTATAAAATCCCTGACAAATATATTATATATAAGTTGGGAAAATATATATGTATATTCTGCTTCTATTAATTAATAAAATAACTGCATTTTTCACTTTGTTTATGTAAATCCCTAGAACATGTTTCCAGATAAGTGGTTCTAAATATTAGCACAGCAAAATTACCATATAAACTAGATTCTAGTTGTACATAGATACAGTCACTCCAAAGAAAATGGAAGAATAAATTGGAATATGGAATATTTAAGTTTTGAAAGTATGTAATCAAAAATTATTGAACCTAAAGAGATGAGTTTTTAAATTCCCTTTTAGTACATTGCATGTACACTTCAGCAGAAAAAATAATATCACGGTCAACGTAAGAAAAAAAAAATATGCAAAATATACCAATAATGAAAGTATAAATTGAGAGAAAAAATATCATAGATGTAATAATGTAGAAATAAGGATTCCATAATAAAATTTATAAATAAATGGAAACACTTGTGTTTAAGCGGTTAAGGCTAATTATCTTTTTGACACAAGTGCTTAAACAATTTGCTAGTATAACTATTCTTTAATAACAAAAGAATTTTTGCACTTTGTGGTTTTTAAATTTTAGATGTATGCACCATTATCAACATATGAGTACTTAAGGTTTTAGGGAATTAAAAATTATCATCTCAAACTTACTTTATCATTAAATAATTGGGTAACAGAATGCTTATTACCAAAACAGAAAAGTGACAACTTGTGTATTAATATAATTTTAATTTAAAAATCATTATCTTATACATGTCATTTATCTTTGGTGTGTCAAAAGCTTTTAAATATTAAAAACTGTATTTGTCTACATTTAATATTAACTCAAAAAATATTTCGCTGTAGACATTTTTTAAAATGTGTGTTATCTAATTAGTGTGCTTTAAGCGAAATTATTTCAATATTTAGGAAATGGGTCCCCAAAAATATATTAGATAAATACATTTCATATATATGGGTGCTTTTCTGACATAAATCAAGTTTTTAATTTTTAACTTATATGTTATATAATGAGAAAGAAAATAAAATGTACTACTACATCCACTTATCCAGGCACAATGAAAGTAACTATCCCTTAAATTCTATTTTAAACACTGTAATTCTAAACAGTTAGTTATTTTATACATGTAATTACAAATTTGATATTATAATACGGAACAGTCCAAAATTACATCTTGATATTTTCAGGGTGGATAGTATATAAATAAAATAATGGCACCTTTTTATATAAACATTCTCCCGTAAAAAATGGGATGGTAGTTATATTTTTTACGATACCTCAAAAGTTTTTCGAGATACTTTTTAATATTTTAAATATAGACCTAAAGCATCAGAGTACTAATTTATGCGCATATTGCACACATGGTTTCAGGGAGTCACAATTTCACTCCCAACATTTCATTATTACCCCATCCCAGAAAATTTTCAAAAAATATTATTCTCTAGACTGAAAATGAACTTCTATTTAAATCGATGAATATAAATCGAACCGTTTTTGAGAAATTCGGATGCACGAGAGATGAAGGAAATAAACAAGAGAAATTTCAGGAAAAAGTTTTAAAACAACAGTTTTAGCATAGCATAACAATGCACCGTCTAATGCAAATTTTAAATTCTTTTAGGCTAAAGTATTTGTTTTACGAAACTATTCAAAATATGTGATTTGAATGGTACACAATTGTGTCAACTTGAATTCAAGTTGGCAAATTTATTATTACACATTTCAAATTCGCTCTCATATGTAAACTTGCTCTTCTGGAAAACGATCCAGATATCAAAATAAACAAGAGGATCTTTTTTCATTAATACTCAAGAGATGAATATTTTTATAAAATCTATTAGGATATGATAAGAATTAAAAAAGTTGAGGATGAAATAGTGATAGTCACACCTAAAATTACACTTTTACACAACATGTGGGATTTGAACAATACTGCCCTGATGTTCGAAATCTATAATTAAGATACAAATTAGATATTTCAAGACATTTAGAAAATCGCCGAAATATATAAATATAACGTTTATAAAAAATGGTAATTATTTTTTGGTGTACTGAACGTTCTAAAAATATCAGGAAACAATATCCACCATCCAGTATATAATAATAATAATAATCCATCAGGAATTAATTATCATAAAATAAATAATTAATTTTTTCTATAATAATTAATGTGATATAACATAATTTCTTCTCCATTTTACACTATAAATATATACAAATATGTGCAAGTAAAACAAATAATTAAAATAGAAAATGTAATTGAAACAGAAAAATGATTTTTTTTTATATCGAGGTATTCCATCTTAGTTTATGTTAAGTATGACAATTAAAAAAACAAATGTCTCAATTTCTAACCAATACCTACTGATTTTTTTTCAGCATCTACTTCTCTGTGAGAATAAGTATGACATATACATATTTTTAAAATCACACCTACGGGGACAGTTGGTACTGTAGCAATTTTTGGAAAATGTAAGTAGCTGATGTGAGCCGATATATTCAAAATACCAGTTCTTTACCTAATTTAAATAGTTTCTTTTATTTTATCCTCTCGTAGATGAATTTAAAAAATAAAGCAAAAATTAAACCGTCAGAACATCAAGGAATAAACGATCCTCAAAAATTTCTTAAATGAATTATAACAGTTTAATAATTTGTTTTCCTATATCTAATAATAGACAATAATATTTCTGCATCGCGAATATTTTAATGAAGAATTTGACAACGGGAATCATATAAAATAAGTTTCATAATTAATATAACGTCATTTGCAAGTATAATTTGATTATTTAGTGTTATCGTAATATAAACAAATTACTTAATTTATGCATTTCAAGTTGAAATAAAAGCATTTTCTATGTCAGAAATGGAAATATTTATTCATGTCATTTTAAAATCACGGCAAAGTACAGCAAGCAAATTAATATGAAAAATTTAATGTATCGACAAAATCTTTCCTTGCCGAGACTATTACACTGCTGTTATATATATGTATATATATAAACAAAATCTTTAATGTTAATCGGGTATGCAGTCAAAGACAAAAATTAGCTGTAAACTCTTTATTGGTCAAACTTTCGGGATAACTTATCCATCCCTTCTTCAGAAGAAAATCTACAAGGGATAAGTTATTCCGAAAGCTTGGGCAGTAAAAAACAGTTTACAGCTAATTTTTAATTTGACTGCATACCCGATTAACATTAAAGATTTTGTATATACAATATATAATTTTCTTTTTCTTGTATTTGTTTTATTTCCCAACTCACATCAACAGGTAACTGTGTTACGTTTGAGAAAACAAAAGTGTGAAAAAAAAAACGTGCTTGCCTGTACAGATTGGCAGCTTGTAAATATTGATACAGAAAACTCCAATACTGATGTGGAAAAAGAGTCTTAAAATAACTGCCAACGGGTAATAATGAAACAAATGTGTATATGTGTTCATTTGTAAACAATTATCCCTAAGACGATATTTGCACAGTTCCGATCTGTATGTGTGTGTGCCTCTTAAATCTTTCCCAAACTTTCATCTTTCAAAATAAACCCAAATTTGCAGCACCAACTTAACATTTTGTTCGAGATGGAACAGCCCAATCTGAAAAAGCTTTGAAACATCCATGTAACAGTAATGTGTTAGCTTAATTCTATTGGTCACTTATAATTGTTTCTTCCGTTTTAACATCTGCAATTCCCTGCATTGCTTTCGTCAAAACAGTTGCATCTTTCAAAGAAAGAACCTGTAATACCTGCGGCGCATCATTGCCAGAACTTTGAATCATCATAGAATGAGTAGTTATACCACTTGGGGTTACCGTTAATGTGTCCATATTATCTCCGTTATTTGGTTCAACCTTTAAAAGATTAGTTTTTAAATATACTTAATCACAAAGGCAAATTTCATAATTATGATTATAATACAAACATGTATATGCTCGCTTACCTTTGGAACTTGGACAACAGGCGTTACACATACTGTTCCGTCACTGTTTGTATGGAGGTGCTGGATATTTGCTACCATCGTTTGATACATGGACGCTGTTACCGGTACAGTGATTACTCCACTAACTAAAATTCAATAAAATCACATTCATGTTAAGATTTTTTTTAATGCGATTTTTATAAAGTATAAATTTTCAGTTTATGAAATTCTTTAAAATAATTTTATCCAAAAGAAACGTACCGTGTCCATCTTCAGCGGTTAAAATAATCTGTCCTTCAGAATTGAGTGTAGCCTCTGTGACCGAATTTAGATCGACAACTTCCCCTGGAGTTCCACCTTCGGATATAGTCTGAATGGTGTGTACTTGGTTGCCCTCACCTTGACCTGACTGCAGCTAATTTGATAAACTTATTATATGGCATAATTTAAATTAATTTGAAACTTACAGTGGCCATTCCTTGTACATGTGCAGTAGTGCCGTCTGGTAATGTGATAATTGGATTATTAGGGTCTACTTGAACAATGCTAACGGTTCCATCCGGGTTAGTTATCGTGTGAAGTACCGTTGGTGTATATTGAGTCGAAATCTGAAACATGTTTCAACTCAAAATCATTTTCAATTCACAACAAAAATAAGGTTTATGGAAATAAAAAGGAGCCATAATGGAAATTATAAATTTCGACTCGATATGCTACTTCCACAGATTTAATGTAAAAAATTCTGTATACACAAAATAAAATAAGAAAAACAAAACCAAGCTAACAGGATAACAAAAATATATAAAAATAATACTTTAGTTTTACAAATAATTACTATTCATCATACACAGACAGAAAAACTCGTATTTTGAAAAAAAAAAAATTATGTAAAATCGATTCTTGCTAAAAAAGTGCCAAACAAATTTGTTTTTATTTACAAATGATTTATCAAGATCACATGCATCTATACAGGATTAGCAAAGAAAATGATGATATATCGAAAAAGAACAAGAAACAAACAAAAAATTTTAATGCTACAACTACAAGGTCAACAGGTAGACAATTTTTAGACATTCCATTGTCACAAGGTTTGAAAAGCTTTATTTCTACTACCTTCATTATCGGGTCCAAAAGAATTTCTATAACATAGAAGTTTGGGGTTTTCAGGTTAATCATAATCCTATTCTGATAACGGGTTAATTTTTGTTGTTGTGATGATGTATCCCATAATTTTTTATTGTTCGTATAAAGTGGTATAAAAATGATTACTAGCTTTCACACAAAGATTTAAATTTTAAACCAAAACAACTTCCGCGAGCACAATACTTTACTTTTCGACAAACTAAATTGCTCCTAGCTCATGCGGCGATACCCAATGTTGTAAAACTTTATTTTCTGTACCTCACAGAACAGCTTCATGCTGGCTCCAAACTTCATTTCTTGAAGCACATTTTTACTAATCCTGTATATACAACTTGTTCAACTAAATAAAATCTACAAAATGAATAAAAAAAAATCAAGACCAAAAGTAAAAGTGGGAATGACATTTATAATATAATTTGAAATTGCTACACACGTCGACGTCTGAGCTATAACCAGCAGGGTCTAAGCAAACCTGCGTAGACGACCCTGATAAGCCATCTGGCGAAGCTGCTATAATTTGTGGTGACCCATTAGCTTGGATCTGTATTTTATGTGTGGGCACCATGCCCGAAGAGTGCATTTTTAATACACCCACTGAACTACTGACGTTAGCATTTGCTGTAGCCGCTGCGTTCGCCTTCTCATCTTCTTCCGAAAACGCAGGCAAAAGGTCTTCTCTACCATGAAATTTATAACAATTGATGACTATCTGCCTTAATGCGTGTGTCCAAGATATCTGGAGATAAAGGAGTACATTTAGGAATTTTTTCTTAATTTAAATTTATAATTGTACATACTTTATACACTTAGGCACATATGTATGTTATTTAGATTAAATATACCTTCTGTTTTTCGTCTTCACTACGAGCATCCATCCTAACATTGGCCCATGGCAATTCCTTCGGCCACCATGGTGGTCTTGTGGATTCCCTTCCCCATCCAGGTTTACCCCTTCCTGTTGAATACTTCAGCATCAAAGGAATGAATGCTCTAAGTTGAGCCTGGGTCATTTTCTCGACAGGTGTTGGAATGCCATCAATTATGAGAGGGGGTAATTCAAAGAGTGTTGGATCTTCTTGAATTGGCGGCGGCGCTTGATGAGCGAGTGCATTTTCTAATTCTTCCATAATCATTCCTCTAAGATTTTTTATAACATCTTCCAGTGGTTTTGCGCCAAATACTTTGTAACTCGTGTTCGGTTTGCCTGGAGTCGCTACTAATACAACTGCTTGTTGTCCTACTCTTGTTGCAAATTCATCAATGGTTTGCTGAAAATTTATTATGAACATTAAACGGAAAATAAAAAATTACCTTTAGTTTACTTTTAATTTTCGTAACAATCTGTTTTGTTGCCGTTTTCTTATAGAAGGGTTTGTTTCGAAGGAGTGGGGTCTTTTCCGTTTTTTCGATGAGACGATGGCAGCAGCTGCCGCTACTCCTACTGGACCTAAATGTAAGAAAATTTTCATGAATGTAATTTTTCATAATTCACTAATTTTAACAATTTTGTATAAAAAAAGAGAAATTGAAAAAAATAATTGCTGAATTAAGCATAAGGTTTTTGCAAATTCTTTCCCAGCCCAAATAAAATTTCACGGAACTACTATCTATATTTTCTTACCTGCAGCAGCAAGTTGGGCAGTAACTTCGTCCCCCATAGCGGCCGCCATAAGGTCCGAACCTTCTGCATAACCAGATCCAGGAGAAGAAGGGCAGTTGTCATCATCGTCTTCCGACATTACCGCCGGGGAGCCCACTACCATGGCGATCTGTTCGGAATTGTTTTGATTTCCGTTTGAATCATTCATCATCAAGACCATTCACCAGTACCATGGAAGATGGGCCCCCTTAAAATTAAAACTACAGTAAAATATTCAGTTGACTTAAAATTTCTAAATGTCACCACATCAAGGCATTTCAATTATAAATATTATTCTTTAACATATTTGCTGCTTAACTTTTGTGTTGTTTGTAAGTTTTTTAAAATCCATTCCTTTGCATGCTTCATGAGCAATGTGCGGCAACACTTTTAAAACATTTCTGCACTTTTAAACATATTTTGGTAAAAATTAACTTCGTTTTCAAACACCTGACACTTCATCATGGAAGTTTCATACGATACAAAAAAGAAAACCTAATGTAAATTTCCTACATTTTCTACATTAAAGAAAATTACATACTAATAAATTCTAAGGCAGGGTATCGGATGCAGATGCACTATATATATGTGAGGTTAGGTTTAGTGCGGTTTAGAGCCGAAATAGATTAACTAATTTTCTTACATGTATTATTACTTCTAGTTGACAACGGAAAATGAACTTTATTAAATATTATGAATTTTATTTCGTATATTAACATAGAGATACTGGAATATATAAAGCTATGTTCATACAAAATCAATAATTGATGTATATGTATTCCCCTTACCCCTTACCGAAAAGATAATGCTTTGACAGAGGAAATCATTTGATATTTAACACACATAAAACATTGAACTGGTAATTTAGGAAACATTTGCATTTTGTATTTTGTCTACAAATTTTTTAACGAATGCACATGAACATAAACAGTGTTTGCGCAAAACGACAAGGTGGTTTGGCGCGATTCATTAATGGTAGATAGCAGCGTAAAATAGGAAATATGGCTCCCACATCACGATGATGCCAAAGAGGGCATTAAACATTGAAATTCAAATTGATCTTATACTAACATATAAAAGCAACATTTTCGCAGCAATTATTATATTAAGGTAAAGATGTGAATCGCGCGTTGACTTGCAATGGAGCAGGCCCAGTTAAAATTATTAGTACGGCTGCGTACGCACCTGCGTGTATGTCACACATTTAACAGAAAAACATGTCTGTTAGCGCAGTTTTGGAAATTTTGTGGTATTTTGGATATTGGACACGTTTATTACACTTCACTAAACATTTTCACTTGGGTAAATATTTGATGTACGCACTGACAGATAGTTTTACGTTACATTCTTTGATATCGATCCAAGCAGTCACTGTTGGTAATACACGACATTATTTTTGAGGCACGGACATATTACACGAGTCTGCGCATTTTAAGTTGTTTGAAACTTAAGATTTCGTACCTACCTTAATCTTTAAAGATATTTTTTAGAACCTTTAGACGGTAACAAGAATTTTATTAAATTATACATCCACTTTTATCTAAGAAGATGAGCCAGCAAAACTAATGATAAAATTTATTTAACTTATGGCGTCATCTGTGTTCCAAAACGGAAACATATATTTTGTTTGTGTTACCACTCGTTTCCAAATTTACATGTTATTAAATTGCGTCAAGTAGTCTTAACTGATGTCGAATTACATAAATATTAATATTCCTGAGTGATAATAGTTTTTATTAACAAAAAGTAGTAATATATACTTTTTTCAAAAATTAACTTTAAAAAATATTTATTATTGTTTTACTTTATAATATTGGCAATCATTTACATTTTGACAGAACGTTATCTAATAAATTGCGTTTGGTACTATGGATTTCCTTTAGTTTGTTAATCATCAAAACGGAAATGTACACCTGTGTGAACATAATACCACTCCCATTTGAGCATGAGGCTATTATAAGTTAAAATAGCATAGTTAATTAATTTAGCTGGCGGATTTGATTTTCACTCAGTGTTGCCACTGCTAGTACAATTGCACGAATTCAGTACAATTTGCACTTGCCCAGGCAAAAATATATTTTTAAAATATTTAGTACAATTTCACGACTAGTGACAGTTGAACTAAAACTAAAAATTGTAGATTGTTATCTAGATTATATAAACCGTGAATCACAAGATGATGGGGCAATTCCCATTCCAGTTTTTTTCTATACTTGGATGGTGCCTACTCTACTCTAGTATATGCTTTGAAGTGCCTACTGTGAAGAGTGCGAACTTCGAAGGTACCCAGTCTAGGTGGTCAATGGTGTGGGGGACCTAACCACTACCACAGAATAATATTCTAACTGCTGATGCATTAATCATATGCAAGATCAGTAATAAAGATCTTGAATCATATATATANTATATAGTATGAGCTCTTTCTGATACATAATACCGCATAAGTTCTAAACATTCAAAGAATACATATATATATATATATTTATACAGGTTCGGAAAGTCCCTATGGTACATCGGCCCTTACGTGAGAGCGATAAAGTAATTCATAGAAATCCGTGCGATAGACAAGGATGGTTACATTGAAGACGTTTGATAATCTGAATAGTCACTCCCACTTCTAACCCGAAACGGACGGTGACTATCCTTGTCTATCGCACGGATTTCTTTACTTTACTTTGTCGTTCCATGTAAAGGCAGATGAACCATGTGGATTTTCCAGGCTTGTATATAGTTGTTAAGTATTAGCGACTAGCTATAAGCGACTAGCTATACCGGGTGACCACGAGATTACTACCCAGGCTCTAGCTTGGGCACGAAAAAACATATCGATTTCAAATTTTGGGCATGCGTATCATTGAATTTGATGCAAAATTTAATCATAAAAACAACTGACGGTCACTTCCATTTTGACCGGAAATGCCCCTTATTGCAGTTACTTTGCTATTAAAGATGTCTTCCGGTATTTTCCGAATGTACCGGAAGTGCGACATTTTTATGATATCAGCCTTTAGTACTTCTAAAATAACTTAAAGATATCATATGACTTTGTCCCTTACTTCGTTTGTTTTCTTTCAAAGATTTTATAAATGACACATATGACATTTTAAAGCGCGATTTTCTCGGAAACTGTCAAAGATAGGTATAGGACATAATACATATTTTAGTGTTAGTTTCTTCAGCAGAATTGAAAACAAACATAATATACAGGGTGTTCCATATTAAATAACAAAGTTTAGGGCATTTCCGGTCAAACAGGAAGTGACCGTCAGTTGTTTTTATGATTAAATTTTGCATCAAATTCAATGATACGTTCATCTCAAAGCGTTACCGTACCCAATTGAGATCACTGAATATGCTGGGATAGTCGGTTTTTGTGCAAATGGCATTGTTAAGGAAAATTTCGAAACTTGAGGAGCTAGAGAGAATGCAGTTTTGGATTTATTAGAAATTTTATTTAGTTTAAGTTGGCAATGGCCCTCTTAAGGTATTTTTTTGCAACTTTCTGATGTACCTTATTTCTTGTTTTGTGTTCAGAAATCAGAAATACAGAAATTCAGATTTCAGAATTCAATGGCATGTTGTTTTTAGACATTTATACTGATTATACTGATCTGTCTCTACATGCCTATACTTTATATTTCATAATTTATATTGTTACAAACTTTTGATGACATGGTGGAAAGTAAGTGAGCTTTTAACCACTACAGAATTTTCAAGTAGAATCTCTAAAACGTCCTGTGAATACTGAACATTATTACGATTATTATATTATTATCATATCACAATGATTATTTATTTTTTCTACTTTAAGGAAAAGTTAATATGAAAGACCTAGAAGCAGCAGCAAAAGCCTCGGCTACTTCTAAAGTAATAAATACGTTTAATCGGCCAGGTCAATTAGATAAAATCAATCAAATTAAACAAAGATATTCACGAAAAAAAGCTTCTGTTGAAGCTTTATTAAAATCAGCAATGCAGCAACAGCTAGATGGGGTACGTGTTGGCCTTAATGAATTGCATTGTTGTTTGGAAGATGTTTTAGAAATCGAAAATAGGTATATAGTAAACGATTAAAAGGGACAAAATAAATTGTTTTTATTTTGTAGTGTAAAAAAAATGCTTGGTTTATTTTCTGATGTACCCAAACTATGTAACACTTTAAATGAGGTACGGGATGAAAATATGAGACATTCACAATATGTTACTGCAAAAGAAAATCTCAAACATATATTCACAGTTCCTGATAGTGTAGAAAAAACTAAACAATGGATAAATGAAGGAAAATTACTCCATACACATCAAGTATTATGTATACACAATTGTAATATACAGTATAATCAAAATTTATTTTTAGTGTTTAAGAGATCTAGAAAACTCGAGAGACGATCTCTTGTATGAACTTCATAAATTGCCCAATCAGTCTCCTCATGATAAATCAATGCTAAAAGCATATTTTGCTGATGTAGAAGTTCTGTCAAATCTCTTAGAGAAACAGTTAACCTTTATTTTATCCCGGACGTTAAATACTGTTCGTAAGGATCCTACTGTAATAGTAACTGCCCTGAGAGTCATTGAAAGAGAAGAAAAATCAGACGAAGACGCCTTAAGGCAGCAGAAACAAACGGGATTCTTACCTCCTGGAAGACCTAAGAAATGGAAGGAAATGATGTTTCGTATTTTAGAAAAATCAGTAGCCTCTAAAATTGAGGGGACACAAGTTGAAGAACGAGAGGACAATAAACATTGGTTAATAAGATATTTAGAGTTGATTAGGATGACGATATTGGAAGATTTACGTGTAGTGAAGACATTATGTGTACCTTGTTTTCCACCAAGATATAATATTATAGACCAATACATACATATGTATCACCACTGCTTGGGTGTACATGTAAGTGTGGTATATATATATTAGGGTGCTTCGTTTCAAAGGAAATTTTTTTTTTCTTCACTTCATTGATGAAATATTATATGATTAAAATTTTCCTATTCATTCATTCAAACCTACGGTTTTTATTTAATTTTCCATATCTCGACTGCATTTTACTTTATTTTATTGCCTATAGGCGATAATTATAGGGCAATCTTTGTTCTTTGAAAGTGCGACTTGGAACGGTTTCAATGCTAAAAAATCTTAGTTAATTTTTATCAATTTTTGCGTTTTCCTCATAAATTAATAGATTTACAACAAAAACGTAAGTGACAATTTTATAGGAAATAATAATAAAATGAAATAAAAAATTTAAATATAAACACTAACTTTATATGAACTTTTTTTCACAAAATAACTTCGGCAATCACCCCCTAAAATATTTCACACTTATTTACAAACACCCTGTATATATATGAATAAATAATAATGTTTCTTGTTTTTAGTTACAAGAAATTATCCAAAATGGGTTGGAAGGAAATGAGTATGTTTCAATATTATCGTGGGTAATGAAAATTTACAAATCTAAAGATCTTCTAGGCCATTCCGATTTAATAGAACACACTGAAAAATTACCCGCCTTGCTTCCACAAGCTGTAATAGATCGACTTGAAGGCGAATATTTAAAGGTAAACTTGCTGTATTTTCTACACCTTCTGGCAATGTTTATTTGATTTTTAGAATATAGAAAATAATTACTCAGAATGGATGCAGAATACGCTGAAGTCCGAGAAAGAAGAATGGCGATCTAATATTGAGCCCCACCTCGATTCATATTCTAGAACAGCTGCTCCGATCATAATTTTCCAAATGATAGATCAAAACCTTCAAGTTGCTAAAACAATAAGGTGATATAACAAAATTTTGTAGTTTTATGCCGATCATGAATTCATTTTTAAATTTAGAAAATTCCGAATAATTCCAAAGATATTCATATATATATCAAGCAAATAATATTATTTTTTAATAAATTAGACTTTTTTGAAGAAAAAATGTCCCTACTTTTTTTTCGAATTCTGCGTAGTTTAGTTAGAAATAATTATTTTTTAAATAATATATAGCTCAGAACAGTAACTTTTTTAAACATTTTCACATAGTAGGTAAACATCTTTCATGGTGACAGTTTCGTTGTAATGATACTAATGATTGTCACTTTCGCATGCTATCATTTAAATTCTTACGTTTCTTAGTTGTGATCTTTGTACTTGACTTTACATTTCATTCGATTTTTTTAAAACCAAGAACTGCTTTTACTAACCGTGAATATACCGATATGCATTTTATTTATGGTTTCTGTAATGGAAATAGTCTGGCGGCTCAAAGAGAGTATCGGCAACATTTCCCCTTATAGAAGGCAACCTTTTGCAAGATTATTTGGGAAAATTCATGCAAGAACAATGGAATCAGGAGCCCTAACTCCAAGATGTCGTAAATTTGGCCGTCCAAGGAGGCATAATTTAGACGAAGTAATTTTAGGATTTTTTTAATGTAATCCTACTGCGAGTGTAAGAAGAGCGTCTGCTCATTATGGTTCATGGTTGTAAAAAAATCGAATAAAATGCAAAGTCAAGCACAAAGATCACAATTAAGAAGATAAAGAAACGTAAGAATTTAAACGATAACATGTGAAAATGACAATTAGTATCATTACAATGAAACTGTCACCATGAAAGATGCCTACTTTGTGAAAATTTAAAAAAAAGTTACTGTTCTGAGCCATACATTATTTAAAAAATAATTATTTCTGTCTAAACTACGCATAAGTCGAAAAAGTCTAATTCATTAAAAAATAATATTTGCTTGATAAATCAAAGGAATAAAAAAAAAATGGGTAAGCATGTGTTTGAAAATGTGGATTCGTCAATAAACAAGACATGCATAAAAAAGTTTGGATTTTCTTGAATTTTATCCAGTGCCCAGTGGCAAAATTGCAGGCATTTTAGGTGGTCTTGAGGTAACAGTGCTTGTTGTTTTTCAATATGATATGGATGAAACTTATACTTCTTCAATATCTTATTTGTCAAGCTTTTGGAAACTCCAAGGTTATTACTTATTTTCCTGACACTAATATTTGGATTTTCAACAGCAGACGCCACAACATTAAACTGAATATCATTATTGTTACTTTCATGTCTCCTGGTAGTTTTCTCATAATTGGCATTTGCTGTTCTTTCAAACCTTTCCTTCACGTTTTCAAAACAGGCAGCACGTGGAAATCTCTGTAAATCTGGATTATTTGCTTTGTAAATACGTGGTGCTAGCAAACAATTTCCATGAGCTTCTCCTAAGGCATACACCATTTTCACTAATTCTTCTTTTGAATAGTTCATTGTATGCACATTTAGTACTTTCTCTGAACTCGCACGTGAATATTCAATAGAAGACGAAATGACTTGTAAACTGATTGTCACAAATTTTATTGCCTAACAGGCACTCACTGCGTTTTTCCCGACAAAGGAACGGGCGCAAATCCGGTATTTTACATAAAAATGGGTTTTTTGTAAAAACTACGCAACTTAGGTATAGGGAAAGCTTTTAAAAAATTGTAGGGTCTACAGAAAGTCATCTAATGAAATCATAAAACACAGGGTGTTCTATTTGAAAAAGTCGAGATTTTTCAAATTTTAAATTATCAGGTTTGGCCCCTGTATATCGCAGTTCAACTTTTGATACGTTTCACTACAGTTCCTGAAAAACAATAATTTATAGCTGTCATACAATCATAATTATGTCAACTACTAGAAATGACGAAACATAAGAAAAAAAATGAAAAGTCGATTATCTCGAAAACTATCAATATTTTAATAGGTGTATATATTAAAATATATTTATTTTCCTGGGAATTGGATTCTGGTGTGATAGTCGTTTAAAAAAAGGATAAAAGAAACAGCAGCGATTTCTTTCTTGACATTTCGTTCCTGATCAGAAACTTTTTCAAAAGGCTTTTATTGTTAAAATTGTTATAGTTAATTAAATAAAACATAAACAACCATGTTCCGTAAAAAAATTTTTTGAAAACTGCATCAGTCATCTTACAATGGACAAATTTTCACAATATAATATTATTGTATTTTTTCATTTTAAATTTGAAAAAGGCTTGCATTTTTAAATGTAATATATATATATATATAATGTATATATAATATATATATATTTATTTTTTTCTTTCTACCAGCGAAGAATTGACGATAAAATCATTGAATCTGAGCATTGAACAAGTTGTAAAATTTGGGGACTCCTTTCGTGAAGCTATTATAGAATTCAAAAACAAATATTTTGAAGATAGGAAGCAGGTATATAAACACCTCTATCACTTATTATTACCCTTTAACTTCAAGATTTCATTTATAGGTATTATATTTCACACAGTGCATGATAGTAATAATAAATAATTGTTTGCAACTGGTAGACCTGGGATCACAATTAGGGAAACAGTATCTCATTAGTTCTTCGCCACACAAATTAAGTGAAAACTTTAATAACCTGAGAGGAACGTTCTTTGTAAGTTATTAATGTGAAATTATAAAATTCCTACTAATAAAATTTTTTTAGGGATTGCGAAACGAGTCTGTAAATTATTTATTGGAAGAATTATTTATAGATTTAGATCAACACTTTGAAAAATTATTCAATGTACAGTGGCTTAGTACAAACGTACCTGCAGATACAATATATGCTACAATAGAAGATTATTTCCAAGATTACAATAATTTGGTGGAAGTTAATTATAAATATGTTGTAGATTTAACTAGAAATATGGTAGCAAAACGTTACTTAACAGCAATGCTCTCTAAAAGGACATCCTTTAAAACATACGAAGAATGTACCAAAGCAGCAAGTAAAGCAATGAAAGAAATAGAAAGATTAAGTCAGTTGTTTAGTAATCTTAGTAAAGATTTGGATGAAGATGATCCGTTTGAAGCCATCACTATGCTTGCCGAAGTGCTTAAAAGTGATGACGATATGTTGTCTTTTGATTTGCATAGAGTTGTTGAAAAGTATCCAGACATTACAGAAGATCACTTATTAAGGCTTTTAAGTCTAAGAGGGGATTTATCCAAAGCAGATATTAAAGATAAAGTTTTGCACATAGATAAACCCAAAGTGTTGCACAAAAGTAGCATTTTCAAGACGCTCGTATTTCCTAAGCTTGTGAATATAAATTTGAATTTTTAATATATATATATATATATATACCGGGTGATTCAGTTTGGTATTCGCGGTCCTGTATCTCTTTTATTTTAACAAATAGCTATAACAAACCCTATATATTTTTAAATTGCCGCTTAAACTCTATCAAATGACATTATTAGATCATCTCCATGGTAACATATGTTAAAATTGCTATAGTCAACTGTTTTTCTTCAAATGGCGCACTGTATATTTATTTATGAATTCTGGAAAATATTTTTGTTCTGCGTTCAGCTATATAAAGTAAGTCTATAGTTTCATTAGAAATATTGCTAGAAAAACAGCAAAAAAATGAACCTTGCTTTTAGTAGTTTTATTCTGAAAAATGGTAGCCAGCTGCGGAAACAAGTTACTATATTTTTTAAATTAACATATTTTATTTTTAATACGATATTAATATAACAATTTAAAACAGTACTTATTTTAAATGTTCAAAATGAACTCCATTTGCTTCCAAACACATAATAGCTCTATTTATCACTCCCTCTGTACATACACATTCTAGTGTTTCTTCTTTTAATCTCTGACATTCTACTCATATTCTGTTTTTAAGGTCGTCAATATCATTTAGATAAGGCCATAGAAAGAAATCTATGCGAGTGAGATCGGGAGATCCAGCAAGCCATTTAACATCTTTATCGAATGATCTTCATCTCTTGCCCTTCTGGATTTAAAATCTCTTATTTTCTTTTGAAAACTTTCATCTGCCGTCAAATTCCTAACTTTCCGAAAATCTGATGGAAGTTGTCTCTGCGGAAAACGATGTTGGTATAAATACCTGGCAGCTTTAGTGTTCTTTCGATCCATAAATAAATTAAAATTATATCTAAATTTTTCTTGGTTACTGTAAGTATTCATATTATAATTAGTTATAGATAGAATAGGTAGGTACAAAATGTCAATTATTGTGACAAACCGTTATTTAAAATTAAGTTTTTTCCACAGCTGGCTATAATTTTTCAGAATAAAGTTACTGAAAGTAAGGTTCATCTTTTTTGCTGTTTTTCTAGCAATATTTCTAATAAAACTATAGACTTCCTTACATAGCTGAACGCAGAAAAAAAATATCTTCCAGAATTGATAAAAAAATATATAGTGTGCCATTTGAACAAAAACAGTTGACTATAGCAATTTTGACATATGTTACCATGGAGACGATCTAATAATGTCATTTGATAGAGTTTGAGCAGCGATTTAAAAATATATAGAGTTTGTTATAGCTATTTGCTAAAATAAAAGAGTACGAGGCCGCGAATATCAAACTGAATCACCCGGTATATATACTATATACACGATTTTTTTATTTGAGATTTGTAATTATTGAATTCAATTTTTGATGTACTCTTGGAAAGTTTAACACTGCTTCTTATAGATATGTAAACTATAGCACAATAAATAAGTCAATCCTGATGATCTTTTTCTATTACTATTTCTATAAGAAAGTAAACCTAAGTTAAAAACAATTTTGTTGCGAGTTTACACTGCATAAAAGAATAAGCGGAAAAATATGTTGGAAACAGTTACAATTAATTTGAAAACAACCTGACACCGATGATATGCTTAAAATCTTGATGCTATTGGTATTGTTTTTAGTATTTCAGTAGATGTACGAAATACAAAGTACACCATTTATTGAGATTTGAGGTTGATGCGATAGATGTCAATTTCTCAGTTCTGTAATGCAATTTACAAGCCACGTGACTGCCGAGCTTAGGCAACCAACAATACAGGGTTGATGTTGGTAACGAAAATTTCCTAAATCTTGGCATCACACCAAAATTAATGATTCGTTTACAATGCACCACGACAAACCGTTACGTCTACGCTCGAGATAATGCCAGCGCTGATTGGTTGAATAGAATGTTGCGTTTTATTGTGATTCTGTCCTTATTGTTTTACTTTTACTGAAATTTAATTGCCAACGTGACGGAAATAAAATTACTGTTCCAAACAAAATCATGGTTACGTTTACGTGGCTTGTAATCATTTATGGAGGCTATCTAGTTGGACAAATCAGTTGTGCAGTTTATACCACTAGTATGTTTTAAAATAATAATTCCCCACCCAAGTAGCCAATCGCAGAAAATGGCAGTTTTCTAACCTCTTTGGTTGATGCTTTTTTACTCCCCTCATTTTTTGTTATACGCACGTGTTTGACGATTTAAAAATTAACATCCAGAGTAAAATTAAAACAATGTGTTTTGGTAACTTTTCTCTCAATTAAAACTCCTGCGTCTTTTAAACGCGCTTTTAAATGAAATCAGTCATGTTCTGCATTCCCCTATTTCTTTTTTAATATTCCCACAAACATGGAAAGAAATTCCAGTGTTATCAAGATATTCAAACAGTTTCTTATGAACACATATTTCTATGATCGGAAATGTTTCTAGTTTATCATCATGGTTCGACATATCTAGTACTATTAGCTGATGATGGTCTCACGCATAGTATAAGTATACTAATTGATTAGTATACTGTGGTCTCGGCTTTATTTGCTGTGCTGTGGTCTCACCTCTCACGAAGCACATGAAAATGTGGCATGAAAATTTGAAGTAATAACTTCAGGGGAGGGAGGTAGAGGGCGCTTTTGTGCGGTCTTTGTAAGTTAATAAGTTCGTAAACTTATTTGCCGGCCGTTGAAAATCATTTTTGTAACGTTTTGCCGCTAGTCGGCAAAGATAGTATATTTTATAGTTTTTTTTAGCTTTTTGATAGGAAGTTTGTAAAATTCGAGACTTTTTGATGGGTAAAGGTGCTAGTGAAGTTTTCCTCGATATAACTGAAGACATTGTGGTATAAAAGTTTGAATTAGACAGAGTGAATCTCATTGGCTTCATAGATGTCCGAGTAGAGTGCAATGTGATCACGTAATGGCGGGTAAGGCGTTACAGTGGAAATTAGTGGCGAATCCCACTGGACCTCAGCCTCGACCAAGACATGGACATCGTGCCGTTGCCATAAAAGATTTAATGGTAGTATTTGGTGGCGGTAATGAGGGCATAGTTGATGAACTTCATGTTTACAACACAGGTAAATGATATGAAGTTAGAGCTTTCTTGATAAATATGGCGCGGTGATTGTTTTTATTTAGATATATTTCGGAAACAGTAATTGGGTTCGAATACAATTTGTTTGCTTTACATTTATTTTGAAAAAAAACGTGCTACATTTCCAATCAGTAAACTGTTGATAATGAAATGTCATTTCGAATTAAGTTTGTTTGGTCTGGAAACAAATATGGCGGCGTATACACAGCGACATGTTATGATAGAAACCCGGTTTACATATGCAAGCTTCTAGAATGTAAAATATGTTTAAAGAATGACATATTCTAATTAAAGTCAACATTATTTAATTTACTCTCTTTATATATGTATATACATGTGTGCATGTAATATGTATATGTGTGTAATAGTATGTAGGTATGTATGTATGTAATATAGATATAATATGTAATAAACTTATTTTTCTTAATGATAATGTGGACTGTATCGTTTCAGGCTCACTGCAAACTAAATAATAATTTGAAGTAAAAAATTTGAATATTGAAAATTTTTATCACGAATCATTTAAAAAATTTAAAACTGCCCAAAATATTTTTGTAAAAAGTGCATATTTGGATAATTAAAAATTATTATGTCTGATTTGGTTACAGCTACAAACCAATGGTTCGTACCTGTAACAAAGGGAGATGTACCCCCTGGTTGTGCCGCATATGGATTTGTTGTAGAAGGAACTAGGCTTTTAGTTTTTGGTGGTATGGTCGAATATGGCAAATATAGTAATGAACTTTATGAACTTCAGGTATGGAATATTTTTATTTGTTTGTAATTGTATACTGCAATATTCATTCTTAGGCGTCAAAATGGGAATGGAAAAAGTTGAAACCAAGGCCTCCTAAGGCAAATCCTGCTCCCTGTCCACGTTTAGGACACAGTTTTACCCTAGTGAATGCTAGAGTGTACCTGTTTGGTGGATTAGCCAATGATAGCGCTGATCCAAAAAGTAATGTCCCTCGTTATTTAAATGACTTATATACATTAGATATTCGAAGTAATCCCATCCAGTGGGATATACCTTCTACAAATGGACCTTCGCCACCACCCAGAGAATCTCACACAGGTGTCGCCTATGTAGACAAGAATAAAGGCAAATCATTCCTCGTAATATATGGTGGGATGAGTGGCTGTCGTCTGGGAGATTTGTGGTTTTTAGAAACCGAAACCATGACATGGTCGAAGCCACAGGTCTCGGGTACAACTCCTCTTCCAAGATCTCTCCATACTTCCACGCTTATTGGCCATAGAATGTTTGTTTTTGGTGGATGGGTCCCCGTTGTAGCGGATGAAGTGAAAACTGCAACTAATGAAAAAGAATGGAAATGTACTAGTACTATGGCATGCCTTAATTTAGAGACAATGAATTGGGATGAGCTAAAGATAGATGCGTCTCACAAAGCAGAGAACACTTTGCCGTGTGCTCGAGCTGGACATTGCGCTGTTGGAATTAGCACAAGACTGTATATTTGGTCTGGCCGAGATGGATATCGCAAAGCATGGAAAAATCAGGTAAAACAAATATAACCATATCATTACAAACTATTCCAATATATATTTATTATACATATATATGTATATTTAGGTCTGTTGTAAAGATCTGTGGTATTTAGAAGTTGACAAGCCTCCAGCTCCTAGCAGGGTGTCCCTTGTCAAAGCTGCTACTCACTCTTTGGAAGTAAATTGGACTGGTTCGCCTTCAGTTCAAACATATATTTTACAGGTAAGATAATTTATCTGATTTTGTTTAGGGACAGTTTGCAAAGCATTTGTAAATTTTACTTTATCGATTATACTTTTTTTATATACTTATCTGTTAGAATTATGATTACAAATTATGCCGCTTTTATTTTTAGATTCAGAAATATGACTTACCACCTCCGGCAGCTACAGCTGCTAAACCTGCCCCTGTACAAGCAACAGTGCCTCCGTTAATAACATCGCCAAAACAAGCACAATCGGTCCTTGGTAGTCCTTCAACTCCAACTCAAGGTGCAAAGACAACTGTTATTCCTAACCAGATAATAGCACCAAAAGTTGTGGCCCCTATTATTAAAGGTAACTTAATATATTTACAAAAATTGTTATTTATGGTTAATTTTCTCGACTACAGAAGCAATTAAACCGTCAGTTGCTTAATAAAAGTTGCTCATTTTCATGCCCTCTTATCACCCTTTCCAAGGAACGTACTTTTTTCAGAAACACCCTGTATAATTGATGATTTCAGTGTTAAAGAGGTATAGGTACCAGCTAAAAATGATGTAAACTAAATTAATAATATTCATTTAAAATCATTGTACTAAGCGTATTTTTTCGTATAGCCCCACCAGTGCGAGTTCAAGGAACGACAGGCACAATAATCAGACAAGCAACGCCTCAAGTGGCTGGCAAACAGCTGGTGGTCAAACAAGGTGGAAACTTAATTCAAAAAGCCGGTGGAGTGCAGCAACAAGTGGTGACTTTAGTAAAAACTAGTACTGGTATGACGTTGGCTACATTGCCAAAAAGTGGCAACCTTGTTCAAAGCAAGGCCACAGGAACTGTGATTCCCCAACAAGCAAAAAATACGATTGTAAAAATTGTGCCTAGCAGTCCAGCAAACAAAGTGTTGACTACTTTAAAGACTATACCATCAAATATGATACAAATGAATAAAACCACGGGAAAATTGGTTCTTTCAAAAGGGACAGGACAAATCCCAACACTAAGTAAAGATTTCGTATTATATAGAATTACTTTTATTGTTAACTTTGAAAAATTTTTAGGTAATCAGCAAGTACTAGTCGTTAGTTCAAATGCGGGACTGAAGAATATACAAACTTTCACGAATGCCCAGGCTGTAAATGTGTCCACTGTCAAAACCACTACCATCAATGCTCAACCAGTAGCTGCCGCGTCTTCAATAGCAGGGCTGCAAGGCGTTAAGATTGCAGGAAAACCGATCACCATTTCGATGCCTATGCAAGTAGTTGGTTCTCCAAAAACTGTGACTCTTTCGAAAAATACAGTAAGTAACATTTTTCTATGAACAAATTTGAAAATTCCTCATGCCACAAATTAAATAAATATTGTTCATTTAAGGAGGTTTATCTGATTTGGAATTGACGAACAAATATTCATAAAAAAAATTAATATAAGTTTATTAATATGAAGAAAATCCTCAAAACAAATTATGACTTGTTTGGATACCTAAGAGACGAGATATTAATAAAATAATTTTTCACGATTTAGTACGAAATATTATGAGAATGCACAAAACTTTTTGGTCTTTCCATTTAGAATGTGCAACAATTGACGAACACTTTCCACAGCAACTTGTATAAATAGGAAACCGATAACTAAGGAACCGTATGACAGCTCGTAGAAAGCGATTAGGCACTTGTAAGATACATAATTTATAATAATTCTCCTTCAAACGGCTGTTGTTGACTAACTTAACAGCTATATGTGTGATAGCGGCAACGCCGCTGTTCTCGACATTGCATATTATTTGAAATTCGCATATATATATAAAACGAGCGTTCAAATAAAAATGTGGTCGAAGTTGGCTCTGACACATTGGACGTAGGGAGTAGCTTATAGCGACCAACTTAACCTCATTTCTCAACGAGCCGCATAGCAGCTGTCAGTTTCAATAACGTTAATGACTATATAACTTTATTTTAAAGAATAATCGTGATAACAATAACAAACAATTAAAGGAGCTGTGGAAAGTGTCCCCCTCCTTGTTCCAAGCACTTTTCACACCTGTTCCTCAAAGAATTAAAGACATTTTCTAAGATGCTCGGGGTATTGTTAATTTCACGAATCTTGTCTATAAGTCGAGCCTGCAGATGGTTTAAATCAGGAATAGGCAGTTCAAAAATAGT